AAATCTCTTGAAAATGATTCAACAATAGGCTTTTTCAATAGTTCTCGAGAAGTTCTACAGTTCCTGATAGGTTTCAACAATCGTTCTGCTACGCAACATCGGTAAAATATGTATTAAATATGCTTGTAGCATCATACGCTTCAGTGCAGGCGGACATGAGTTGCTTGCTTTTGTCATATTAAACTTACCGAGCGCACACTGTGCGATCGAATTTAGGATTGCAAAGAAAAAAAGTATTTAGGCTATATCCGATGAGTTGTCTCGTTCTAAGTGTTGCTTTGGGAACCAGCGATAAGTAGCGGAGGACTCTGCCCGCCAGGCTACCCGTTCGTGATCACGTTCAGCTCGGCTACGACGGGATATGCTTTATCGACGGAGGCGATGATCACAAAATTCTATTCCCGGACTCGCCGCTACGATTTAGCGCCATGTTTTTGGTATCGCCCAAAACCGTAGCGTTGTACATCTCCCCACTCATCTCTGCTTGCAGATTCTAGGCTGTTCTCTCATTAAAATCGCAGTTCATGTTGCTTCACGCTACTGGAAACACATGAAATTAATAAGAAAGGAATATACTTTAGAGCCATTACTAGAAAGTACAGTGGACTCGAAAGTTTGTGAACTAACGATAACTTTACGGTAATTACTAATCTTAAAGACAATATAACAGAGGAGATGGATATTTAAACGAAGGTCAGTCTTCTGGTATCCGCTGTTCCAAATATATATACTTTGTGAAGTAACCTTCTTTGTGTCTCCGTAATACAACGGTAGATGGACGCATGGGGTCTCCCTAGACCCCAGACCAGTTAAACTGGCTGTCGATTTCGTCTGTTGATGATTCTACGTTGTATTGAATTTAATCATTAATTTAATATCTAAAACATTTGCCAAGTGTGTTAGACAGTAGAAAACCATAGGGTCATAATTAAATATATATTTTATAAAGTTTAAACCGAATGATGTTAAAATATAAGAGGTTCTTAGATTAGATAATTATTTTTTCAAGTTTTTTCACTGCAATATAAAGTAGCAGTGTAGAATTAATGATTGAATCAGAAAATATGCTGTACTGCATGAATTGCAATGTGATAAATACAGGAGCAGTTATATAATACTTGTTGAACAATAATGAATTAAAAAGAACAATTTATGAATAATAGTTCAAGATCTTTTTCATCACATGGGTCATTGTCAGATGATCTGAAAGATTTTAATGATATGGCTAACATTCGTAAAAGACTAATTGATTCATCAATAAGTAATTCACATCTTGCAATTAAAGGTTCAAAATTGCCTTTGAGAAAGTCCAAAAGTGTTAGGAGAGAACCTGAGAAAATAGAACTTTTCTTGCCAGAGAAAGAAGATTTTGCTTCTATTGAGAATCACTTTTTACCATTAGAACCGTGCTGCTCACGTACACTTGTAGTAAGATTGGAGCGCATTGATAATCTAATAAAAAAGTATGAGGACAAAAAGAAATCGATTAATAATGAAGCAGTACTTATTGTTTCTCCAAGAAAAAGGAATAATAAAACTGAGGAAAATTCAATATTTATTAATAAAGTTAATGGTGCAAATTTTTCACAAGAAGATATGCCAATTCCATACTCGTCATTTCAACTCGAATCAGAGAAGAATATTTTCACAGACAAATATAAAAGCGATGGTCCGTGTACTTTAAATTATCCAATACAACAGTTACATGAATATGGTAATAATTGTTGGAGTCTAGATTGCATAATTTGTAAAGAAAAATTCCAAGATCGATTGGAGCTGCACAAACATGCATCATTATCCCATCCTGGCATGCAAATATCATTCTGCGATATATGTGGCGAATCATTTTTTGGAAAGAAATCCCTGTGTCAACATACAACGTCCAAATATCAGACCATACCTCAGAAAAGTCCTATAAAAAATACAGAGGTTAATGAAAAGAATCAAGTGCCCGTAGAAAAGATAGTGGAGAATCCAAGTCGACGATTAGCAAAAAAGAAATCATTTTCTTTGAATTCAAAAACCCAAAACAATGCGAATATGCTAAATGAATTAATCAACTTGGAAACGAATTTGATATTTAAAAACAATCTATCGAATTTAAATGAATTCAATGAAAATTTGTTTGAAACTGTAAAACATCACAACTTAAATTTAATGGATAATGAAGAAAAAAGTCGTTGCAACAGAAGAACAACAAGATTAGAACTCAAAACTTTGAATGAAATTAGCAAGATAAGAATGGCGGGAAAAAGAAAAACAAATGACGCAGAATTTAATATTTCTGATAACGACATGCAAATCCATATAGAAAAAGCGGTAGCAAGGCAGCATCAAAAGAGGCGCAAAGTTGATAATTCACCTAGCTGTGTCATTGAGAATGAGTTAGAAATCGCCAAGAACAAGAAGCAAATGAAAAATGTATCACTGGTAAATCAAATTGATGTGGTGCCAGAAAAACAGCAATTCAATTATTCATGCGTGAAGTCCGAAATAAGGGCACCAGTATCTTTAATTAAAACGGAGGAACAAATAACTGATTGGTTCCCAGAAGATTTTACAAGTGTCGGATGTGGTACAGGGATAAACAGACAATTAGATTCTTCGAAAGAAAAACCTGCGACTGCATCACCAATTGAAATAAATTGCAAAGCTACAAGACCGACTAAGGAGCTCGAGAAGAGTTTCAATGAAAAGGTACCCAATACTACTTCATTGGAGTCTGCGATTGATTTGCCGAATGAAGTGGCCTGCATTGATCTTGAACACGACGTGGACATACAAATTCCATATTCATCAAATTACGAAGAAGAAACAAATATTCCAGTTGAAGAAATTCATGAGTCACTAATTAATCAAAAGGTCGAAAACTGTAGTATTATAGATGAAATAATTGTTATTCAGCTAAAATCGGACGATTCCGAAATGAATCAGGCTTCAGAAGTCCACGAAGATAATGATATATGTGTGGATTTTATTGAAAATTTCAAAAGCTCGGTGCAGCAAGAAGAAGTTTCAAATTGTGGCACAGAAACAGAACAGAGTCAAAATGGTATAAAGAAACTAGCAAGGAGCGTTGAAAGCTCCAAGCAAAATGAAGTGGAGCTCACGGATGAGATTGAATGCATCTACATGGTGGAAAATGAAAAGCCTGAAGTGGAAATAATTGAAGAAGATTCATGCAATGACTTTGGAAACACTGATTCGGATGAATGTGTCGTAATGGAGCCAACAGAGGAAACAAGAGAAACAATTCCGGAAGAAGCAGAGCAGGATGTAGCCAATAATATTGACAATACTGATTCAAGTGAATGTGTTATATTAGAGCCAAAAAGAGACATAGGTGAAAAAATTCTTGAAAAAAATGCAATAAATAATATTGAATCGGAAGATCTAGAGAAGAACAGTCAATCTGAAAATAATGTTTCAACTGCACCTGTTGCTAATCTGCAGCCGGAAAATAATTCAGACGAACATGAGACAAATTTGAAGAAATCTGTACAACAAGAGGAAAATGTTGAATTAAGCATGACGAACAAATCAAATAATACAATAAACAATGAAAATGGATCTCATGTGGAGGATTCCACTGTTGAGATAACACGAGGAACTTTAAAAATTGTTGATCAAAGCATATTAATTCCACCTGCCTTTAGCACAACATGGACCTGTACGGATTGTTCAAAATCCTTTGATGAATATTTGAATTTGCTTCTTCATAAAACTGAAGTACATAGGTATGCATGCACAGAGTGCAATAAGTTCTTTGATGGTAAGTCGAAGTTTCTTCTTCATATGGATAAACTTCACCCGATAAAACTTCGCAAGGGATTAGATCATGCTGCGGACCAAGTTCGCATCAATGAACTCATGTTAGAAGCATTTAAAATGACCAAACCGAAAGAATCAAATAATAATTCATTAAAAAAGAGAAAGATGAATACAGATTTTAAGAAAATGTCATTGTCAAATCCTGTGAAAAGAGCTAAAACTGATATGAAGAATAAGATGGTGATTGACAATCTTGATTCTGAACAAATCTCGTCATCGCAGCCTGCAGAACAGAATAAAAGTAACGAAGTGAATAACTTGGGGATAGATGTTTCTGGAAAAAGCGAATCTAGCGAAAAATTACCAGCTGAGCTTGTAAAAAAATTAAGAAAAACCAAGAACAATAAAAAAAAGAGTAACACACTGATCGACGATATTGATTCTGAAGAAAAGTTATTACCTGAATATGCAAAAGTAAACGAAGTCAACGAGGAGAGTAATGTGGTGATCGATGTTTCTGGAAAAACTGACTCCAACGAGAAAACAGCAGCTAAACCTATGGAAGCAAGTAAAAAAGACAAGAACGTTAAAAGGAATAAAGCAGTCATTGCTAATGCTGATTGTGAACAAATTTTATCTTCTAAATCTTCTGGAGAAAGCAAAGTTGAGCAGGACAGTAATGCGATAATCAATATTTCTAAAAAAACTAATTTTAAAAAGAAAACACCAACTAAATCTGTGAAAACGATTGGAAGAGCCAGGATCGTTAAGAAAAAGAAAGTAGATTCTAAACAAAAGTCAGCATCTGATCCTGTAGTTGGAAAAATCGTCGAAGGAAACAATGCGTTGACGAATACTTCTGGAAAGACTAATTCAGATTTGCAAAAGTCAACAGTAGAGTCTGCAAAATTAATTAAAAAAAGTGATTCTGAGCAAAAATCAACATTTCATTCTATGGGTGAAGAATATGTAAACAAGGAAAAGAAAATAATGTTTGACGTTCCTGAAGAAATTAATTTTAATGAAAAATCATCAATTGACCCCTCCGAAAAAATAAAAGACACTCAAATTGATCAGGAGCATATGACAGTGATCCAAAATATAGATTTTGAACAAAAGTCGTCTCAATCTGTGGAAGAAAATAAAGCTGATGTTTTCCAGGTAATTAATTCTAAAGAAAAGTCACAGACTAAACTTATACAAAAAACTAAAAGTAAAAAAACCACAAATAAACCAGATTCTAAGAAAAAGAAGCCTTCAAAAAAATATGGACCTGTTAAAAAATCCAAAACAATTCAGAAAAATTCAAAAGAAACTAAGAATTATAATTCAAAAGCAAATGTGCAGACAAGCAAAAAGAGAGAAAGTTCTAAATTCAGTAAAAAAAAATTAGCGGAAGAAGCTCAACGTGTGTCAATAGGCCAGAAAAACTCAACATCAAAGAACAACTTTGAGACAGCCAACAGGATTCAAAAGGTGAAATATAAAAAATATAGATAAACATTTTCTATTGAAAGGATGTCTTTTATATGTCTCAATGTTTTACAGGATACAGAAGCAATGAGTGATCATTCAACAAGTTCCAATATCGTCAGTGAAAAAAAGAATGTCAATCCAGGATCACTGATCAAGTGGATGACCAAAAAATCAATGCAAGATACAAAGACCAGCTGGATGTGCATAAAATGTCAACAGCATTTTGTAATTCGACATGAATATATTCTACATAGTTTTCACACTCACGAAGATATGACATTAATTTCTATCTGTGACAAATGTGGAGAAGTCCTGACTTCTATAGAATCTTCAAAAAATCACATGTGCATGGAAGTTATTGTTTGGTGCTGTCAGATATGTTCCATGGGATTTACAACTGGTCTCGAATTTGTGCAACACAATCGAGTTCACCATTTGGAAATCTCAGTACTGCATAATTGTGATGCTTGCTATAGAAGCTTTGTGACTGAGACGATGTTAGCGAAACACCAAGAGGAACATGACATCAGTAACGTTACGCTTTCCGAAATTGCTACGACTTTACGTTCAGATAAACTCAAAAAAAAATCAATAAAAATTTCAAATAGGAAAGCGGGTATAAAGTCATCGAAAAAATCGGAACAAACTGTAAATAAAAAATCAATGAAAGTGCCAAGGAAAAAAAAAGAAAAAACAGTGAAGGACAAAAAATCTGTGAAAGTAATAGTTAAAAGATCAACGAAAGTGAAAGTTAAAGAACCAGTCAAAGTGGCAGAAAAAAAAATAGCTAAAGTGAAAAACCGAACAAAAGTATTAACTAAGAAACCAGCAAAAGCTCCAACCAATAAACCGACTAAAGTGTCAAAAAAGAAATCTACAAAAAAACCAACAGAAGAGTCTACAAAAGTGTCAAATGACCAATCAAAAGGATTATCAGAAACTTCACTTGAAGAAGCAGAGAAAATGGAAAAATCAAAGAAGAAACCCAAAAAACCAACAGAGAAATCATCAAAAGCATCAACAGGAAATTCATTAAAATCACCACCATCAGAAGAACCGGTACAATTGTTATTTAAGAAACCAAGAGAGTTTGGTCCAAGGTCAAGCAAATATCTACCAGCAAAGTTCCACTTCTTCAACTACCAGACCTTTCAATCAGCATTCGTCAAGATCCAGATGCCTTGTTTATTCTGCGAGGACGTTTTCCGATCGTCAGCTGGTTACATAAATCATTTGCTCAAGACTCATCACACTTCCGGCGAGGAGTGTCAAATCTGTCGCAACACCTTTGCCAATGAAACCATGATCCAACATATGTTAGCTATGCATGCTGTGCCAAGTGACCCAAACAAAGACAGCTTGAAGCCAATAGAGTCATTTGATTCTATAAATGAAGACAAAGATAAGCCCATAAATATGGATACGGACTTTATTATTAGACACATGGATAAGAAGCGGCTTTTTCTATTGTGTCAATATCATGCGTTTGATCATATATTGAAAAACGAAACTTTTCTTTGTCCTTGGTGTAACAAGGTAATGGAACACCCGCGTCATTACAAAATACACTTTCTGACAGCGCACGATAAAACTTGTGTCATCTGTAATGTCGACTTTGAAATCAGCCAAGTGGCAGCCCTGCACAAAAGTAAAGTTCATGGCTACGTCGGAAGTTACTTATGGTTTGCTGAAATCATCGTGAGAACTCTCGTCAATTCGAACCGATTTGGCGCCACTCCAAAGGACATCATGATCCACATGATTGGTGGTGATTTTCCAATATATGAGAAAATCGTGGATAACTTAACTGATGGAAAAGTGATAACTGATTTGAATAATAGTAAAAACTCTTGTAATCAATCAACAAGTGTGAAAAATCATCAGAAAGACATTTCAAAAAATGACAAAATAGCAAACGTTAATTCATCCAATGATTTTCATACCAAAAATTATGATTCTTCCACCAATTATGAATTTACACCGACTAATGATTCCCAACAAAATGGCAATAGAAGTGAAAATGTTATTCCGATGATGAGCGACAATTGTTTGTAACGATGTCACTGAGTTCACCTCTCAGAGAGACGCTTATAATGAGTTATATAAATTGAACAATAGTAATGAAATTTTAGAGGAACATGTGTAATTGACGAGTACATTAAAAATCATTAAGATTGAAGGTACTATTTAGATTTACTGTATAAAAACTTCACATAGAAATACTAGTATTTTTTTATATAATGATGAATAGGGTTGAAAAATTAGTACAGTAGAATTTAATATACTTGTGATAGGATCATTATCATTTTTAAGATGTGTATCCCATTGTTTCATAGAGATTATGTAAACAGAAATGATGTTTTGAACAGTCAATGTAAAAATTCTATATGCTAATAAAATACAATTACTACATGATTAAGCGAGCATTCTGTGCTTATCTCGTCTTGGCCAGTAGAGTTGATAACCGATATACATATATATGTACATATACACACATCTGTATTCCTGGAACTGTTTTTCATTCATAATGCCTACTGGTCCCTTTGACAGTTTTACTCCAGCTTAGAATTATTCATCGTATGTAGTATCATGTAACATCCCAATTGACTTCATCTACAAAGTATTCAGATTCCTGTTGTCCACATCCAATACTTATGGGTTTAGGCTCTTCTGACTTCTTTGCAGATGATAATCAAAAGCAGTTCGACAATTGGGCAGGATGTGTCAGTGAACAGAATAAAAGTTTCAGATGACTAATCTATCAAAATTTTTACTGATTTCATAAATATATTCATACCTAAAGTCAATTTCGCATGTAAACCAATTGTTTTGTATTACAAAAGTAGTGCAAGGAATATTTGATTTTTTCAGATAAATCTATAGAATATTAAATTGAGTATTGGTTGAAGTGGTATATCAACTTGTAACTAAAGAATACATTAATGGGATAGACAATGGAGGAATTTCATTTGTTTTTGAATAATGTGAGAAAATGTCAGGAGGAAAGAAACGATAATGTTTTGAAAGGAATTTTACAAGGGTGTCGCAGTAATTTCCAAAATTTGTCAGCAACAGATTGTGGTGAGAATTTGTACACCATAAGTCGTTAATATTAATTAATAATCGTACAATTCCAATTTTGTTATCAATTTTGTATTTTATTGTAGAATTAGCTCTGTCGATTATTTTCGACGAGAATTTGGGTTTATTGAAATTTATGTATAATGAGCTCGATGAGGTTCAACGCCGTCGTATGGATTCTTCAATTAAAGAAGGTTTTCATCTTCTGGTTTTTATTGCCACTGAGTTTAAGGGCCCATTTAAAAATTATTGTGTTGCAGCAAAGGTACGCTTTATGAAAATAATTATTTTTCAACAGTAACATAATTCAATAATCAGTGATTCATATTAATGTTGATTCGTTGTCTTGTCCATCCAGGAAATCTGCCATTTTGCACTTATTGGCAAGTACGATCTTTACATAAAAAGGGCCGCGTGTCGCTTTTTTCAAACGCTTATAAAAATCTATAAAAGCGAAAATTTGGAGTTAGAGAAGAATGTGAAGGATTTTCGAAAAAAATTTGTTCTCCTGGGAATCAAAGGTAACAGGAAATGAAATGCAGGGATTTGATTTTATCATTGGGAATAAAAAGTCTACAACAAATTACAATCGACAATCGTAAAACAATTATATTATTCCAGAACGAAGTATGGTCCTTGCTGTTCTTGGTACAATAGCTAAACATTGTCCTGAATGTATTCAGGAGGACGATGCAAAAAGCATTTACAAGTACCTAATGGCTGACTGTACTCAGGTAAAATCAGTTCACAGAATAATTGTGTCCTAGCTCTGAAATATATCCAAATTGTATTCTACGTTCAATATAAAAATATATTTTCTTAAATAGACAACAAAATATTCCTCACCGCCACCCGAAGTCGAGTTTTACTTAGAAACATGGGCTGACATGCTTGACAGTTGTTCGCCCGCTGAACGAAGATCTCAAGAATTCAAAAGGCGTTACAAAATGTTGTATCCATGGATTAAGAATTTAAGTACGTCGACTGAGGATCGTAAGAGGAAGCACATAATGAGAAAGGCAATAGATTTACTCATACGTCACATAACATTCTTTCAAGAATTGATTTACCAGGATTATAAATATTGGCACAGCACATTCTTATCTTTATCAACACAAACGTCTGCCAATGGAGATATCGGCATTAAAGCAATAAGAGCCTATTATGGGATGATAGGTACTATATTGCGCCACAAAAATTCTGATGCGGACAAAGAAATATTTTTGGTACGTTTTCAATGAATTTTCAAAGACATAATTGTACTATAAGTAATCAGATAATACTTTCATTATATCCTTACCTTGATATTTAACTTTTAGTACTTTGAGAATGATTTCATGAGATCGTTTGACAGAAATTTGAATGAAAACGAATTGCGTCAGGTAGTGCATGGTGTCAGCCAATTGGCTGCATCCTACAAAATTCATTCGACCGTTGAAGCTGTCGACAAAATATATTATTTGATATTGCGACGTACGATGTTTTTATATAGCCGGTATTACTAATTTAATTATTTTTTTTTATTAATATTGGTAATCATTTTATAACTACGTAAATTGAATATTTATATAATTTTTTTTTCGTAGGAGTAACGAACTCACGCGTTTTGATGATATACCGTACTACCAAGAAGCACTTTCTACAATAATGTGCGAAATGTCGACAATATCAGTTGAACAAATAAATGCGCTCACAAAACTCTGTACACTCCTAGTCAAACAGTTTGCGAAATTGTCTATAACGACACAAACATTCGCTGTGGAGTCGCTGATAGGAACAATCGGTAGACTTGAAAATATTCCAAAAAATCTTTATCAACAATATCTGCACAATCTGAGTGAGTGACATAGATGTAATAAATATTAAATGATAGATTATAACTTTTTTATATTATTAATTTAGTTTACGATGGTTTAATATGGAGCTGCTCGCACACTATACTAATAGACGCGGAATTAGAACGTGACGCGAAAAATCTTGAAGAACTGCCACTTTGTTACAAACATTACTGGCCCTTGTGGAAGACTTTACTGAATCCGCTAAAATACGGAACGCAGTATCAACTGTTACAGGAAGTATTCGACGAGATGATATCTTGTTGCGTAACTATAATCAGTAAATTAGATTTGAACGTAAAACCAAAAACGGACGATGTGTATTCGGACGATGACTTTTCGAAAATTGCAGTGAACGAAACTGATTTCCGAATATTTTTGAATCTCGTGGATTTGTACGTCGACATCTTCGAGGCGTGCAGGTCTCTTCCACATCTGATTGAAAATTGGCTTAATCGGTTTCTTCGTGCGATCATTAAAACGTCATACAGACACCCTCTGGTATCAGGATTTTATAAATTGGTTCGTCAAGCAATCAAAATCTCGGATGTGTTTCAAGATAAAGATAAATTAGAAGCCCACCAAGATACCGTAATGTTGGTTAAAGAATATCTATCCGAAGTATTGGACCTGGTCTGCGGCTTCTCCGAAGAATTACAAATCACCTGCGTCTATTTGATACTCGATGCACCAATAACATTCGTGGAAAATATTCTGGATCGTGCGCCAGGAATTTTAAAGATTGCCTTTACAACTGGACTAAGCAATTTTTCACTGGCTTCGAGTGCCCTGGGAACTTTGACGAGATGGACCAATTATTTTGGAAACGAGCGTATCAAAAATCTTCTACTTCGAGTGGTGCCGCATCTGGAGCCATTTTTGTGCAGCAGAGAAACGTCCGTTGAGATGTTGCAGGATATTTTAAAGACCCAAAGGAAAGTTGTGAAAAAGGTGACCCTGGTTAACGAGGAGAATACACTGGAGAATTTTCAAAAAAATATTCTCATATTTCTGGGATCTCTGGACTCTGACATAACACTGGCATTTGTGCACGAAAGATCCTTGAACACTGGCGCCACCTGGGACAAGAAGAACTTACTGAAGTACACGCTCCCATATCCGGATATCAAGTTAGACATTTATCTGGACAATGGGCTGTCGAGGATCATCGAATTGGCGCTGCACTCGGCCGACAGACGTACTAAGGTCGTTGCTGCTGAAGTCCTGCACTCTGTTGTTGCTGTTGTGCTGGACAAGACAAGACAAAAGTCTGGACAACAGCTAGATAACTTTGCGACTATTTATAGTACTTTGTTGCCTACCTTGCTCAGACTTGGATGCGATTCTGATGATGTTGTACGACAAGTGTTCCATCCGTTGATGCTGCAGCTAACCCATTGGCTCGGCAAAGAGGAAATGCTTTGTTCCTCCATTACGAGGCTTCTGGTCGATGCAATCTTCGATGGCATCGATGACGAATCGAATTCCTCCCTCAAGGAATTCTCCGGGAAGTGTCTGGCCGAATTTGTCGAATGGTCCATGATGTCCACTGAGAAACAATTCACTAAGACTTTTGACAATGTGATTGGGATTCTCAATAAAATAATGAGCCTTTCGCTACATCCATCTGCACGAAAACGCGTTGCTGCTGCTATTGCTTTTAATCACCTCTACAGAATATTGCGGGAATACAGCGAGATCGTTGATATATTTTGGTTGGAAATTTTGTACTCTTTCATTAAGAGCTTGGTGGGCTGTGATGATTCGCGAATTGGCACTGCTCTTAAGCACGTGGAAAGGGTTTTGATTGCAAAAGCAAATGTTTTTCACAAACATAATGAAGAAAGACGAATATCAGTCGAATTCGGTGGTTCGACCTTGAAAGACGCTGCTGATTGGTTGTTCCTACAGTGCATTACCACAGACCGAAATTGCAGAAACAAGTGTATGGAATTGCTAGAGAAAATTTCTGTACACGTTCCGTGTTACAATTCGACGAAGAACGTCGTATCGTTCTATAATAATACAAATGGCGTAAAAGCACTGAATTCAATGATACTGAAAAATTTGAACGAGAAGAACTACACTGTCATTTCATTGGAGAATCTTCAGTCGCTTTTACGTGCGCTTGACTGCTATATTTGGTTGATTGGAAACGATTTACTTAATTTCGAAACTTTATTTGCCACAGAAAATGGAAACGGATATGTAATTTTCGACTGCGTTCAAAATTTTATACATTGTCTGTTGCACGTGAGAGCCAACAATTCCGACGAAGTATCAGTGCTCTCCAGTGAACTGGAGACTTTGAAAGTAATAAAGCGTGAAATCGTCATAGTGGTCTTAAAGTTCGTTGAAATTCTTCTGATCATTATTAACAAGCATAGAGCGATCAACGTGCCGCCATCTTTTTGGAGTAAAGATTTGTTCACACTGATATCATTCTGCGTACTCGAACCACACGCTCTTGAATTTAACGAAAAAAATCTTAAAATCACGGAAACTCTACCGCGTCAGGTGGAGAGCTTATTTTCGACTATGAAAAAAAATAATTTTATCTTCGATTCTCTCAAGGATACCATTTCTATGGCTGTGGTGAAAAAGTACCAAGAGTGTTTTGAATTGGATGCAATAATTAAGAAAAATAATGCAGAACTAAATAACAGTGTCAGGGGACTTACCTTACTGAGAAAAAGTTTGCTTCTGGATAAAATCTTCGAAGAACAAAATATCGATGCATCTTGGCCACAGAGAAAATTAATTGTTTTATTCAACGCCTTACGAACTGACAGCTGCAACGCTCCAACGTGCACCATACTGGATCCTGATACTAAAGAATATTTTGAAAACTTGATGCAACTCTTGCTGATAACGTATGACCCTGCATTGGCCAAAACATTGTTAAATCTCATTCTGGATAAGACACCATTGGAGAATCTCGATTCCACGAAAATTCAGCACGGATATTATTTTCTGTTGATATTGAAAAATCCAATATTTCATCATATGCTGAGAAACGTTGAGGAAATTATGAAGATGCTACAGGATCAATTGCTGTATAATAATCCTGCTGAGTTACTGATGATCTTAAAAGAGATGATGGCATTTTCATTGAACCACAAGAAAGAATTGCGAACGTATTTTGAGAAGTTGACAAAAATCTTACTGGAAATGTGTCCGTTGCTCAAAAAATCCATAAACAATCTTCCATCGAGGAAGGATATGTTTTTGTATATATATATCACTCTGGTTAAACTAATGCAGACGCCTGTTATCGTTGCAAGAGAAAGGACTTATCTCTACGAATGGATTTTGGACGAACTTCGCTGTTCCGACAATTTGGAATATAAAACTCAGCTTTTGGAAAATTTTGCTATAGGTTTGATAGATGCAGAATTAGATTCAAACAATGAATTATTGAACGTGTTGAAAGTTATAAAAAATACACACCTGCCTCAATCGACCAATGACATGTCTATGAATAATGCAGAGAATTTGAAAATTCGCGAATACTTTGACACTTTGTTAAAACTGTTACCAGCTCTGAAGTCGACAAAGTTCTTCGAGTCCGCCATGTTGTTCGCAGCTGGAACTGGCAATGTTTTGTGCGACGAAAAGATAACTGACAGTCTTACACTATTCTTCCAAGTTGTCCCTATGGAATGTGCGTTGAAGTCTATCGACATAGCGTTCCGAAACTTCATGGATTTGGATCATCAACAAGTACGTATGGATATATTGCATTCATTTTTAATCCCATCTTTCGACAGGGTCAAATTGGAGATAATTGAAGAATTTTTTGAAAAAAATGTCACGGAAATTTCCGTGATAATAAGTCAGAGTCTTGCCGGATGTGAAATCGACATGAGGCGACTAATTTTAACGAAGGTCGGATGTTACGATCTGCTGGGAATAATGTTTACGAAATTGAGCGACGATAAAATCGAGAGCATGAAAGTTGATAGAACAATGTTGATAATGAGTGCCATGAAGGTACGATCGTTTAAAACGTACAGTAACGAAAACAAAGAGTTGATGAGATTGTTGCATTGTTCGGCGTACAATTTTTGCGTGGCGAGAGTCACTTTGAAAAATGATGAAAAAATGTACAATTTATTATTCGGTGAGAACCGAGAGAAAGGACAGCTGATATGGGAAAATATAATAGACTGCGAGAAGCGCTATACGTTTCAGCAAAGTTTTAAAGACACTCTGAAGAAGCGCAGGAGACACGTAAATATTCGAAAAAAGAAAGAAGGTGCAAACGATCATCATGCCCGTCATTCATATTTATACAGTTTTGATCTGGCCTCGTCTACGTTGACTGAAGATATGAACAGTTATGATTACAATGATCTTTCCTTAAAATCGTCACCCGATGGCAACAATGCTCAAGAGAGGATGAGCGTCACTCTGGAGTCTGATGATCTTAACGATCACGAATGTATGGCATCTATATGTGCTGTTTTCCGACATCTGATGTCGAATGGAATATTTGTGCCTTTTAATGAAAATGATACGTCACAAAGTAAACAAGAAATGCCTGAATGGCTTAAGAATTTTTACAATGCCTTCACATACAGCGTGCGCTCCAAACGTCAGAACGTCGCACTTTTCATACTAAAAGTCATTCTCAATGTTCCAGAAGCATTTAAGCCGTATGCCAAATTCTTTCTTGCTCCTATCATCACAGCCATCAATGTTTGTTTTAGAGATTATTGTATGAATGACTTTATTACGGATGCTATAGTAATGCTCAGGAATTGGAAGGACGTTGCGATACCAACGGAAGGTAAAGAAAAATTAGAAGCTCAAAAGTTTCTGGAAGCCATTATTGGTGTAACGGAAATTAATCCGTCAAATTTGTGTAAATTTAATATGAAGATAATTAATATTTTGGTGGAAAGTTGGAATCAGTGTTTAACTTTACCTGCGAAATTAAATGAGAAGATAGAATCATCGCCACACGTTGCTGTGCATTTGATTTTGATTTTTGTCAAGAACAAAATGGTGGAGTCGGTAGTGCGGCAGGAAAGTATTTTGAACCACTTACAAAATTCTGTTGGGAAATGGATGGAGAATAAGGAAGCAGCAATTCGGGCTTGTGAGAGTCTGGGAATTGTTTTGAATTTTATGGAAGATAAGGTTGATTACGAAGACAAGAAGAATAGCATCGTCGATAATTTGTCAAGAATTTTTCGAAATATTTTTCAAGCGTCCAAGGAAACTGTGATTAAGTGCATTCACGCTTTGTGTATCAAATACGAAAATGCAGTCGTAAAATATTTTCATTTTATACGCTCCAGTGTACAAAAGGTCGACCAAACATTGAAGTCTAAATATTTAGAAGTTCTTCTGGTGCTAATTACAAAATTAACACCTGAGAATATTTATACGGAATTGAATCACATCAGCTTCAAATACTTACTTAAAATCAAGATATCGTCTTGCGAGAGAGTACAATTGCAAATCATGTCCCTCCTTGCGAAACGATTAAGTCCAACGAATCTGATAGAATTAGCCAAATTAATTTCACCATATGCAAAACACGATTTATCGCAGTATCGAGAAATGACTTATGAAATTTTTATTTCAATTCATAATCGCTTTTATCGTGATATTTCCGAAGACAGTGATACGAGTGAATTATTAATATTTGCCAGTAAAATTCTCTTGGATGGTCTGATGGATCCGTCCGAGGATCTGCAGAAGAAATTACTCGAATTCTGGACGGAGGAGAATTCTGGCAACAGAAAATTAACAGAAAGATGTACCGACAGACTTTTGGAAATCTTAAATATGTATTCGCCAGAATTGGAAGAAGTTTACTTGCACATTTTACCTTTGGCCATGTTGCAGCTTACTAGTAAAACACCAGATTTCAATACGAAGATTTGCGATCCCTTGGAAGAATGTCAGTTCATTCCTTATCAGATAGATGTCACCTGCAAAACGAAAAATTTAGCATCCGTGGCACCACTCTTTGCCAATTCTCACGCAAGTCAAAAAAATTATTCATTCGCACATTCCACGCAAACCCTACAGGATTTATCGACGTATGCCAATTCAATTCCATCAATGAGCATAGCCAGCGATTCAAAATTCGCGCCACAGAACGCACTCGCATTCGAGCCAACCATCGACGAAGAACTTGATGACTTCGAAGTACCGGAAGTGACACCTGTTCCCGAGTTTAAGAAACCCAAAGAATTAAGAGATTCATTAAGAGCATCATTGTACATACAGGAATCATCAAAAATCCGTGAAGATATGCGTCTGCGTGAGATAAAGAAAAATGAACGTCACAAGGAGATGATAAAGATGGAAAAAATAAGACAGAGAAACACAGTAAAGATGACAAAGTTAGTTCCCTTTATTTTATATATTATTTATTACAATCAATCTCTTCGGATATAAAATATATCAATGCTTTTTTTAATTTCTAGAGAATACACATTAGGTGACTATCCCGATATAAGTATCACGAATTCAAGCTTGCTGCAGCCATTACAAAAATTGGCAACGCGAGATCACAATGTATGCAAATACGTAATAGTATCGATATTCCGTTCACTGATCGAGACTATGTCAGGAATTAAATCCACATCGGAATACCGTGACAAAGTATCGCAGAGTTTAAAATTCATTCTAGAAAACTGTCGAAAACAAAATCCATTAATGGCGACGATCCTAGAAATGACTTGGAGCACAAACATCACAGACTTCTGTTCCGACAATGTAGCCAAGGCAGCAAAGTCAAATCAACTATTATCGCTAGGCGCATTAGTTTTAGAAGAAAAATTAATTAAAGAAGATGATTATACAGGTCCGCCATTAAAAAAACAACGAAACTCAGTGACACATGATGATCCACATACAAATGAATGGGTTCAATTAGCAAGTCTGTACGAATCTATGAACGAGGTCGATGTCGTACTGAGTATATTCTCTGACCGAGTCTCAAGAAAGTCTCTGCAGGTACTTAAACAATAATATTATTATTATTATTATGAAATGGAAAAATATAATAATCCAATTTCTGCAATTTCAGGAAGCTACCTTTGCTCGAGCAGCCAATGATTGGACAACAGCAAAAGATGCCTATCTTAAAGCCTATGAAATGGAATCAGGATCGATCAAGGAACATTGCCTCGAAGGATATTACCAATGCCTTGCACATCTTTTATGTTGGAAGACTATGGCGAAGAGTATCAAACAGAAATTAAACAATGATTATAATAATATTTGGAAGCCATCTTGGCAGGAGGATTGGATAGTTCCTTGGATGTTTAGTGCTCATGTACAACTCATGTTGAAAGGACAGCGTATTGATAGTTCTGCAGAGTCCAACAGCTTCGAAGAAGCATTAATGGAATGGATGAAGGATAAGAATAAGTGTGATCACATAAAAAGATGTTACGGTGAAGAAGTTGCTATACTTTTGGATGAAGATAACAGAGCAGCTCAATTCGATTGTTTGAACGGAGCTTTGGAAGGAATCAGAGAACAGTGGATTCACCTTAATCCACTGTCTGCCAGTCAGAGAATCCGATTGCTTTTGAAGTTACAAGGGATTAATGAGGTTCACGTTTATTTGAAATATTCTAAGGAACCAGATGATTTTTCAAAAATAAGGAAGCTACTGAATTACTGGAATCACAACGTACCGTCGGTTCACGACGATCTCATAACGTCGTCAAAGTTAACAACTTACAGAATACATTTTGCTGAAGTGCTTGGAAAGAAATTGGCCACTGAACTTGACTCGCAGGATGAAAATATTCAGATTGAATTACGAAACCTTTGTTATAAACAAAAATTAAAAATGACAGACGCAGCGCTCTATCAAAAAAATTTGAAAATTGTCAAGTTTCATTCGTATTACACAGAGAGTCATGTAGAGGAAGTTTCAGATAATTTGAAAGACGAGTTTCAAATGATAATTGCAAAGTATAATTATCTCGAAGGAATCTTAAAGAAAACTAACAGTGACAAATTAAACTCCTATGAGAAGTCTTGGATACAGACTGAAAAACTTGTCAAAGAGTACGAAAAGCCTCACTTCAAAGTACTCGCTGCGCAACACCTCGCTACGTTAGCTGATACTCTAGTTAATTTATCTATAAATGACGAGATTTTTTATAATGATCTTAAAACCAAAGAACATATCGTCAATGCCGTATCCACTGAATGTGTTGCTTCTAATGATCTGATTGAGAAACTGCATGCATACAGTCTATCGTATTTGAGGAAATCTTGCAATTTGGCGAATGAAAAATCGATCGGTCCATGTTATTTGAAACTTTCAAAGTATTGCCATGCGCGTATTACTGATCCGGAAACTGATTCGAGGTATCAAACCGGAAATCCTAATGATCTGATACAAGAATTTGTAAGGTCCACTTTAAGAGCGATGAGTTATGGCTTGCAGGAAGCTGCGTATTATTTTCCATGCATGCTGAAGAAGGAATATTTGGAAAATGAAGAGACTAGGGAGATTTTTATTAGAGAATCGAGGGACATCCAGGCTTGGCTGTTTCTTGCATGGCAGGCACAGCTTCTTTCGCATCTTGGATCCTCGATCACGCCTACGATCATTCCTATTATCGAAAAGATCGTCAACACTTATCCAAACGCCATGGTCTACACGTTCCGTCTTACTGCAGAAACGAATCCTGCTATTCTCGATGATCCATTGTTATTCAAGATTCGCGAAATTCTAATGGGTGATCGCAAGATTGAACATTTTTTAATGGCTATAGAATATCTTGCACAACCTGAATTGTACCTGCGAGATCAATTAACAACATTTTTGAGCAATTTGAAACATGGACGTGACACAGCGCTACAAACCTTGCTGAAAAAAGCATTTCCACGTGGCAGTGGAGATACAGATTCACCTGCTCAAGGATCACTTTACGAACACATCAATGTGTTCAGAGAACAAATTGAAAAAATTCGCAATTACGAAAGACACGACGCTATATCGCAGCATGTGACCACTCTACAGAAACGCTTAAGGGACGCGTTGATGAACCGAGAAAGTAAGAACCAAAAAAGCCCAAGATTTCGTAGATTTTTGGGCGAGAGCGATGAGAAGCAATTGAAAAGCTACAGTCCATGGCTTCATGAAATTCCACCTGGCGAAATTGAAATTCCAGGACAGTATACCGGCGACAGAAAGCCCATGCCAAAGTACCATGCAAAAATCATGCGGTTCGAGTCGACAGTACAGATAATGTCGTCTCTACGAAGACCAATGAAAGTTACAATGATAGGGGATGACGCCAGGAATTATTATTTCTTAGTAAAACATGGTGAGGATCTGAGACTCGATCAACGTATACAGCAACTTTTTGCAGTAATGAACAATGCATTAAAAGTTGATACCGCGTGCAGACAACGTCAGTTGGTAATCGACACGTATCAGGTAAGCACAAAGATATACATTTCTTTAAATAAAACGTTGGCCTGATATTTCATTGTGTCACAGGTAATACCACTCTCGACATCCGTGGGTTTAATAGAGTGGGTCGACGATACCAAAAGACTCTGTGACTTCGTCGACTTCACTCTTGATAAAAAACAACAATCTCAACACAAGGAAGCATTGGACAGATACACCAAGTGGATAAGCAAAGCCGCGCCTAATTTACATCTTACTGAACAATACAAGAAAGCCTTGAACAAGTATAGCGCAGAAGATGTCAAAGCGAAAATGGCAGAACTCACCAACATGTGTCAAGTAGATTCCTTGCGTGATACTTTTAAGCTTCTAAGTTCATCGCCAGAAAGTTTTATGGCGCTGCGACATAATTTTGTCACGAGTTACGGGACCATGTGCGTCGCTCAATGGATATTGGGAATAGGCGACCGCCATTTGGAAAATACTCTAATATCCGTGAAGTCTGGACGAAGTCTGGGAATAGATTTCGGCTTAGCCTTTGGCGCTGGAATCGCGCTACCTATACCGGAACTGATGCCATTTCGATTGACACCTCAGATTGTCGGTCTGTTAAAGCCCTTTAACGAGAATGATCTTTTGGAATGTACGATGATTCACGTGATGAATGCTCTTAGACAAGATAGGTCTCCGCTGCTTGCATGCATGGATGTATTTGTTCACGAGCCTCTTAAGTGGACAGAACATGTAAACAAGCTTAACGTTGAGATTGGACAGAGTACTATAGGTAAACAATATGATATCGATATGTAGAATAATTATTGATAATTTTTTATGACAGTCTTGATCAAATCTCTGTGTCAATAAATTTGGAATAGATGTCAAATGGCTACCAGAGAAGAAGATAAGGACTGTCATGGAAAAGTTGAATGGCGGGAAATCATCTTTAATTGTTTGGAAACAACTGAAAGATTATCACAACGATGAATATTTAGCCCGATACGAAGCGATACTTTGCGGACTGGACGAGAGGCATAAAAGGAAGCGTGCTACGATGAAGGATAAAAATCTGTCGGTTAAGGAGCAGGTAATGTCTGTAGATTAAATAAGTTTTCTTGAATTATTTTAAACGATCAGCAATTATCGATACTTGTATTTTAGGTGGAATGTCTACTCGATCAAGCAACCGATCCAAATATACTTGGACGTTCCTACGCCTATTGGAAACCATGGCTTTAAATTTAACATTCCTATATGCATTGTCAGTTATATTTTTTATCTAACTCTTGCATGAAAAATGTTACTTTTCGTGCCTCCAAAGTGTGGCGAAAGTGGCGCTTTATAAGTAAGGCTGCGATAAAAATGCTGCGCATGCGCAAATCGGCCCAATTTTACTTTATTCTCGCGCGCTGTCATGATACGCATTCACTTTGGAGGCCTTCCTTGCTTTCCTTATGGCTGCCTCCTCCAATGTGAGATCTCCTCCAAGGAGATGTGCCAGTCACTTTGGAGGCACAAAAAGTAGCACTTTTCATGCATGCGTTACAGGAAATATTATGCGATACTGGTGCAATAAAGCGAAAATATACACAGGTCGTGAAGTTTGTCACACTCACCGCACTCGTACCACAAGCAGCACTTGCCTTCGGCTCGTGCGATAAGGCTCGTCTGCCTATAAAGTTCGCTTCCTCGCACTCGTATCGCAAAGTACTATTATAATCTTTTTATATCACATATATATTGTATTTTACATAGGAATCAATTTACCAATTAAATAATAACGTTGCACGTTAACGCTTCCATTTGAGTAATCCATACCCTAAAAATACAAAAGATATATTACACAAAGAAGAAAAATAAAAGCTAACAATTATCAAGGGTATCGTGATTTTAGTTTTAAGAACTAAACAATTATTTGGCAGATACGTTATCATAGGAACATGAACTCATTACTCAAATTTCCCGCAACGAATCCTCCCGTAATTCCGTTGTGTACTTAACGGTTGAAGCTAACGAGCGGGTAAACAAATCGTGAAGAGGAAAACATTTTTATCGTTAAAGAATTGGAGCCTGCAGTTGAGATTACAAGAATAGGAAACAGAAGACGAAGGGGAAAAAAAGAAAAAGAAACAAAAATACCTGTGGGTATTTCGTTCAATTACAATCGGATCGCAACAAATCAATATGAAACGTCGATTCGATCAGTAAACGACGGTGTCCAAATCGATTATCGATAAGCTCAATATTTATAGCCATTGAACTATTGACACTCTCATGCCCTGTGCTACTATATTTAGAGATAAGAATCGATATTGACAGACAGTTCAGAATCGAAGGAAAATTCGGTGTCTGTCTATTGACAGAAAGCTACCAGTAACTATTGTCAATAACATTTAAATCGGTTAAGGGTCGTGGAGCGAATGCTTTCTGAACGTTCATAAAAAATTGTATTGACTATACGAGATATCCTTGAATGGGATTCGCCAGGAACCGTGGAAATCTCCCAGATGTCCGACAAATCTGATAAGAATCAATATTTGATCAGCGATTGTCAGTTTGAACTGGAGGTATTTCTTCTATCGACTCAAACGATGATCCTTCAGTGACGATTAGGACTCCGATCAGCTGAGGTACAATTAACGAGCCAGCTGTGGGATAAAAGAGTACTTGTGATTATCTTTAATACAATTGAGAAAGTTTCTCACGGAAACTGTTTGTGGACCAAAAGTTTTTGATTCAACATTTGAGTGACAATTGACATATTTTGAAACACTCGATACTTCCACGGTTTAAAACGTACTCGATACATCGGTGAATAACAAGACGAAGAAGAAATCCAAAAAAATGTCGATTGGACCAAGGACTCTGGGGTTAACAAAGATAACCCGAAAACTTCGTCAACGCATCAATGAGCATCACGGTATGCAATGAGATTACAAATATGTCGATTGAAAAATAGATTCCATTGGATTTTCTTCTGGTTTTCCGTTCGGTTTATTTATTTTTTATTTCGTCTTGGACCGTTGACAGATTGAAGATAGTTTTTTTTAAAGGTTCTTATTACGCGACGAGCTGCATATTACTGGCGTCTTTATACAACGTCACTAATCATTGTTATCTGCTTTTATAATTACATACATTCCACGACGCATTCGTCGACTCGGTTATGTGATTTACTATCTTACCCTTTGCGCTCTGAGAAAACATATTAACTAGACGTTCGAGATTACGCTCCAGTTGCTGTTTTCATTTCTTTGGCTACGCGCTATGTTTGACTTCGTCGGTTACTTGGAGCTTTGCAATTGATCTGAATATTCGATACATTCTTACAGCAAAGCAAGAAATTCTCAGAGCCACCAAGGAGCGGAAACGAAGAGTACGATCGGAAGTGCATACGAAGATGTTGAAGATCGGTTTCCTTGGCGGTGGCAAGATGGCTCAAGCCCTTGCCAAAGGTTTCATCAAGGCTGGTAAATTATTATTTATTTACACTTTACTTGCGTTTATGTAGAAAAGTTGTTTTAATCACGCTCCTCTTATTGTAGGATTAAGTGAAGGAGAAAAAATGCTGGCGAGTTGTCTGCCGAATGACACCGGGAGTATCGATGCCTTTAAAGTAAGCTGTGATAAAGATAGGATCTCTTTTCTTTGCGCCTGGAAAATACGGTTTTACACAATTTTTGTTAATTTTGTGAAATACAGCACTTTCATTCTGAATCTTTGTAGAGTAATGTTGTGTCGCGATAATACGGGATAAGAGCCCGTGACGAATTGACAGCAACTGATTGAAAAATATACAATTCCCGTAGAACTTGATATGAGTAGCTATTAGATAAGAATCCAGTTTAAATAACCCAATATAATAGTATTAAATAACAAAATCAGTGACGTTTCGAGTAATCGCGAGTGATTAAATGATTACACATCGATTGAGCCTAATAAAAATGAATGTAATCAACGGATCACGACGAACAGTCAGAATTATCCAAATAATACCTTTGGCGCCAATAGTATCTTGTCAGGAGGAAATTTCCAGGCCATTGTGATAATCCCGGTGTCCTTATCTCAATTCTTTTTATCGCACCAACTGATCCAAACATAATTCCATAGGAAATCGGATCGAATACGGTCTTCTCGAATGGACCCGTAGCAGAACACGGTGACATATTAATTCTTTCCGTGAAGCCACAAATAGTTCCTAAGGTTCTACCAGAACTGAAGGATCACCGAAAGTTAATACTTTCAATCGCCATGGGCATTTCTTTAGCTTCGTTGGAAAAGGTAATACTTTCTTCACTCATCGAAACGAGATTTTGTTTACACGCCGCAATTGACTCTGCGTTTCCAGGGTTTGCCGCCAGGGACGCCGGTAATCAGAGTAATGCCAAACACTCCCGCACTTGTAGGCTGTGGCGCCACTGTTTACGCACGCGGTAAACATGCTGGTGACGATGAAGCTCAAATTGCCGAAAAATTATTTTCTGCTGTCGGACTTTGCGAGGAAGTTAGCGAAAGTATGATAGATCCCGTTACAGCTCTCGCGGGATCTGGTCCGGCATATGTAAGTTATTATGCTAGAAAAAGCAAGGAACAAGATTTCATAGAATTGAAAACTCATGTATCAGGTATATATGATGATTGAGGCTTTGGCTGATGGGGCAGTGAAAATGGGTCTCATGAGGTCGATCGCATACAGATTAGCTGCACAAACAGTTCTTGGGGCGGGAACGATGGTTCGAGATACACAAATTCATCCTGGACAACTGAAAGATGATGTAGCTTCTCCTGCAGGTATGAAATTTGTGGTTTATTTTACACATCCGCAATGAGAAAAGAAGTGTAACGGCGGAATTAATGTTTGCAGGATCTACCATTACTGGAATCCATCATCTGGAGAAACACGGTTTAAGATCTGCTATTATGGGCGCCGTAGAAGCTGCAACGTTACGTTGTCAGGAAGTTAGTTCACTTGAGGATGAGAAATAATGATTGCAACTAGAATGACGTTGGAAATAGACATTCAGTTAGAAAACTTTGACAATATAGATAGATTTGAATTTTATATAAATTATATCACAATGGATTGTACAAAGATTGGATTGTACAATGGATTGTACTAGCTGAAAATGGCATCTTGTCGATTTTTATATTCAAAACGTAATTTACACGACGTGAGAAACGGTTGATGAATTTTCGAGGATTTATTTTAGAACCGAACTCTCAAATCTCTTCAATTTTATAGAATAATTTATAATCAATTACACATTGTATATACTTAAATAAATATTATTTTTTGTTAATCCTATCAATCTCCTCAATATTTGCTTCATAAATTTGTAAAACATCCAAAAATGTATCTCTATCAGTTTCTCCAAAAAGTATTATACTTAAGAAAATGTCTTCTTGAAATTCCCGCGGCATTCAAGTCAAACAAAGTCTAAAATCTCCACGTGGAATTATTAACGGTACCTTAAATTATAACAATACTTCAAATAACACAGTAAGAAATATATATATTACCGACTACATAAATTGTAATAAGATTGTAATATTGTCAAATATTGTATTGACTTCGGTGGTGCAAACGTGTTAGAACTTCGAGTCGTGGGTTGGCTGACGTTTCGCCGATCTCCCGTTTTAACGGGCTATAGCGCACACGTCGACGCAGATTACCGAAAGCAAGCGAAGACGTCGAGTTAACCGCGTTTGAGGACGCATACTGTGGTACCACGTATTCTGACACTTAATTCTACCTCGTTTTAAACACAAGACGTACTTCGAAAAGTAAGCCGGAAAAATGGCACCTAAACAGAGGATGCGTATCGCTAACGAAAAAGCTACCAAGAATATTACCCTCCGTGGAAACGTCCCGAAATCTTCGGTAAGTTCACTAACAATCAACAGCTGTCTGTCATGTGGTATTGGAAAAAATTTAATTAATTGCTGTATTATTTGCAAAAATGTTCCTTAAGTCACTTAAATTCTTACTTCGAGAAGTATTTCGATTCTACGCAAAATTGTGATAAGAGATTTGTCAGTCTGTCAGGTTATAATCCTTACCATCTGGAATCTGTTTTGGAGTCACTAGAAACATTGTGATATTTTGGAGAAGATATATTTATGTAGCTAATTTGACAACCTCTTTATACCAGTAGTGTAATAATATTAGAAGGTTGAAAAATATAAATATTTTAATTTGTGGATACCAGATACTTGTATGTTATAATAGCCTGGTAACACTCTATAATTGGTACCTGTGAAAGTCATGAGGTTTTTTCATGAGAGATTTTATATTCTTTACAGAAAGCCCAAGAGGAAGGATCCCCTGTTGGACCTTGGCTCTTAGCATTATTTATCTTTGTAGTATGTGGGTCCGGTAAGTTTATAAAATTACATTATAAAGAACTATAAAGAATGTGCTTTTAATAGAGAGTAACGAGTAAAATTATTCTAACAACTGGATTGTTTGTTTGTTGCAGCTGTTTTCCAAATCATCCAAAGTATCAGAATGGCGTAAAAATATTTAGCACATTTTTACAACAGAGCACTAATGAAATTGTTAAAACGAAGAATGTTCCACAACTTATTAATATATATTATTGATACTCTTCTTAAGAGCGACTGACATTTTTCGACACAGACATAGAACCTATATGAGCTACGATATGAGAATTACCACATCTAAAAGGACTCAAGAGTCCTTTAACAGCTGCAACGCAGTTGAAGTGTAATTCGTAAATCAGAGAACTCTATTTTCTCTGTCTTAATCGGCTTAAAGATTTATTTATAAAAGAACTTAGCATTTATAAGCGTTTAATGTAACTGAAGTAATTAGTAATTATGGAATTTGCTGCATCAATGGAAGGAACCTGAAATGTATCCAGCTGTATTCGGATAAGATAGGAATACACTTATTTCTCTGTTGCATTTGCAATATTTTTTTTATCATTTCAGTTTTAAACAGCTGTTATAATTGAGGGTGACAAGCATTTCGCGAAAAACCAAAATGTTTAGATATAAGGCGTACAAAGCGCTCATTGCAAGAATCCTTCCATTGATGTTAATATAGTAAATAATTGTATATAGATATGACAATGTATTTATATGATGTATTCTATATTGTTTCATCCCAAGCATTCCACTACAAGCGGCTGATTAGCCACTTGTTAGTGCTCTGTTGTTTTCTTCCTTCATTTCGTTCAATAGATGAATTAGTTCAATAAGTGACGATAGTCCGACAAAAATATTGTTAAATATCCTACGATTCCACTGAAAATGTTTGCTACCAATATTGATTATCTACATTAATAAAGTATATTGTCGATAACTTCTATTTTCATTATGGCTTTTATTACCTGGCAGTTTCGTCATGCTAACAATAAGTGTTCTTACGTTCATTTCTCACTGTCTTATCGCAACATTTATCATCGACCTTTCTGAGCAACAATGCTATGCCGTTAGTAGATGTTTGAGATACAGTTGTATGAAATTAAATTTGACAAATCCTTAAACTTTGATTTTCAGTGCTGCAAGAACGACCGTTTTCTTCTAAGCAGCTAAATATTTATAACAAATATTCAAATATTCATGGGGGAAAGTGCTACACATTTTTTATACCAATCGGCTAATAGATATTGAAGAATTATTCACTTCTGTTATTACAATATTGCTAAAGGACAATATCGTTATTATTCTCATAATAGGTGTCAAGTTTTATGGATTGATGCAATTGACTTAACTTTCTATCAATTTGTAAAAGATGTTCCAAGTAATGACCCAATTTCATTGTACGATTAACGGATTTTGAGCCGCTTCGTTCGTTTGGTGATTTGGTCAAAAAGACAAAGATGGCGCCACTTTATCTGCGAAGTCAAGAACCGTGCAATGAAACGTAGAAGTCCACTCGGAAAATATGTATGTACCTAGATACTAGAAGAAACACGCGAAGTTCTTGCCAATAAATTACATAAGCGGCTGATCTTGGTTTTTGACCCTGAATAAGAGGGTGAGAAGGAAGCGATCATACAAAATATACGGTCTCGAGTTGTCAGAAAAAAAGAGACGGAATATTGAAGGCTCTGTGGACTTACGTCCATGTATACAAATAAAAAAGGTCGTAGCGTTGGCAAACGTGCTCCTTATTACGTATCGTTCCGCATAGTTTTCGTAGTCGAAAACCGTGAGATTACGGATGAAAGAAGACGCAAAAAAGATTGCTAATTTTGAGAAATGTTGCCGAGAATGAGTGATGGGGAAAATCGGCTACTGGATGAAAATCAGTGGAAAAACGAAGCTCAGGCTGTTATTAATGACGTGAAGAGACACGTGCGTGACATTGGGTTATCTGAAAAACTGCGAAGTACCAACAGTTTTATCTACTTGAATTTAACTACTTTGGAAGGATTCAAGTACTGTGTAGAGCTTTCGGGCGCTGGTTTCACCATTGTTGGCAATCAACACGACGATACCTCGAACAGAGGAAACGAACGGTTCGAGACACCTTACAGCTTGTTGAATTATGTCAGCCCACTGTACGAAAATTCATTTGGCAATTTGCTTTTTGACAAACTCAAGGAACTTGCAGATAAAGAGTAAATAAAGACTTTCTCAGAAAATAACGATCTCCTTTGAGATGTCACTCTGTTGAATCATCATTCTTCCTCTTCTACAAGTATAGTCTTCTGCGAAAATCTCAAGCTTATGCACTGTTTTATATTTGTCACGCGTACAATTGAGAATTCCCCATTAGACCAGCAGACTCTCTTGAGCCTTATAACTCTTGGTGAATGTATCTTGCTTCATTAAACTCCGGGTGCTCGAACTGATATGTACGTACCTGAAAACCACGACGCTCGTTGTTACTCATTGTGATACGCGAGCCAGTAGAAATACGAGGTAAGTTTACCAAAAGTGCAGTGACATTTGAAAGTCCCTAGAATTCTGCCTCAAATTTCTCCCTACTACCTCTGAGTTGAATATTCGTACACTATTCAACACAATCTAATGTTGTTCAATACACAAACTTACATAGCGTGTATCAGAAAATATTAGAGAGTAATACTAGGCCACTATAAGACCACTCTCACGCGATCCATCTCGTTGATCCGTGAGATCATTTGTTTCCCGGCGGCGCTGCGCTAGCAGCACGTACGTATTTATTCGCCGTGATATTCGGCTGTGGCAGTGCGTTATTTCTCTCAGATTGTCTCAGGTATGTAGAGTCTTGAAATTGAGACAGTTGCGGCCGACAGTTTGCGAAGAGGAGATGAACGCAGGCCGATGACACGCCCGCGGGCGATAGCAATTGTACCCCAAGTGTTCGCGACGCATCAACGAAAAAAAAGAGGAAAAGACGGACCACGCTATATTCAACGAGTTTCATTTTACTTTTCGTGCTCTACGTGCTGTTGACATTGATGTGAGTGCGAACCAGTGCGAAGACTGCTATGCGTTCACAGGATCTTCCTCCGTGTAGCTAAATAAGTTTGCTGAGTGAGTATTTCTTCTTTGGAAGATAAATTTTTGTTTGCTTGTGATTTTTAGGACAGTGTTTTGTTTTTTTGTGCGAAGATGTGTTAAAGTGCGCGAAACTCGTGAGAGATTCGAGCGGTGAATGCGAGACGTTTGACAGGTCGGGTAATGGCCTGCTGACCTGCTGATAGTTTGTTTTGTGTCTATTTGGAGCCTCATTTCTTCTCCACTGTGCTTCGTTAGAATAACTGCATTTTTGAGAATTTTCGTTTTGTTATTTTGTCGTATGATTACCTGCCTTATGTATGTTGAGATTTTCAAGTGTCATTGGATAAGGATATTTTACGAATATTGGTATGTTGTTTTACTTAGATTCATTATTGTAAGATTTTCGCAGCATAATGTCCTTACTGATGTCAACGTGTACTTATGTGAGCTGAGGATATTCCGGGTTTTCTCTCTACTTTTCAATTTGAATTTTTAAACACAGGCCTAGTCATTCTATTACACAGTTTGACATTTATTTATAACATATATTTCTGATTTTGATAGTTAAATTTAGAAATGTGGAATGTGCTTAAGAGAATACTTACTATGCATACTGTGTAATCTGCTTGAATTCATACGAGTCTGCTTCATGTTATTTCTTTCCAGTTTAACATAAAGATTTCTTTATTTTAATTTCCAATCTTTTATTATAGGCTTTATAAGACTAATTTTGATTTTGTAATATGGCATGTTACAGATAGGATAGATAATTGCTGTTATTAGGAAATACAATTGTTGAACATCGCTTGATTCGGTATTAAAATAAAATAGACATGTATCAGAGAAAAATTTTCCATTGCTTATCATTATGCAGCATATAATACTTGCCATAAGAATTCATTGTCGTAATATCTATATATTTCAATGACATACTTTGTGTTATAACAAGAGGCCTTCAATAGTCTTTATTGTGAATTTAATGTAGAAAAAGGCCTTAGTGTTTACGTTATATGATACATAGTTTGATCGTTACTCTTTTTTGGTTATTTTTTATATTCATTTGTTTCAATATTTTTTGTTCCATTTTTTTAGTGTGCTATGGTAATAGTATGCTTTCAGTCAGCATACACAATATACCAGTAATAAGAGTAATGATAATCGTCTGAATGATTCATCTGTTAAGAGAATGGGTCAAAGGTGATGGCCAATCATTTAGAATATAAAAATGGTCTTATAACATTCTTAAAGAGCTTGACTATTAATCCACAAGATTAAATGCAATATTAAATGCAGAAATATACAGCAAAAGCGCTGGTTCAAATTTTATGATATTTATATTTAACCTCTCCTCTGATTCTCAATTATAGTTAGCATTGGTTGATGTATTTTTAAACTCTAAATTGGATAATACTGACACTCAAGAGAAAATGATGTCTGAAAATTGATGTGAAAACCATGAGCTAGTTACTAGTCATGTTCACGGTGACATCCTCTTCAGTTCAGTAGAGTAAAAAACAGTAACCTTCCGACACACTCTAAATAATTACAGGAAGTGTTAAACGATGTTTTTTCCATGCATCTCAAATTGAAATTGGGACAATGAACATGTAGAGCATGATTCTCAATAATCTTTAAATAAAATTCTCTCTATCAGTAGCCTTTTAATAGCTGATTATCAGTTATGGATACTAATGAATTAAAAGATAAGGGTAAACAAGGTGCCCAATGTGTATATAAAATTAGATTTACATATCACACAGCAAGACTACCTCCCTACTGTTATTATATTTATCACGTTACCAAGTTCTATGCGGCGAAGTAAGCGATAGTAATTCGTCCATTGCCGATGAACGATAATCTTATCTTCTATAATACAGAGTCGAGTAGCCACGACGACTTTATACGTAACATCAGATTTCCAGACGACACCCTATTTTATTAATTATATTAATTAGCAGTAAGTATTCAAAATCATTATACAACACTTATCTTCATATATATATATATATGTATATATATATATCGACAGGCGGAGTACGAGCAGTACAAATGAATAATCATTGCGGGGTGACATCGCTCCCTGGAGAAAGGAATGGCTAGCCTGACGGTCAGTTCGACAAGTAAGAACAGCTCGAGGAGTACGTCGCCAAGTCGAGGAAACATTTTAGCATCTCAAGTGCAGCAGACACCACCCGTCAATCTGGATCACACGCCTAAGACACGTAATGCCACTGTGTGAGTAATACCTTTACATTAATGATCGTTTGTAATTCAAAGGCTATCCTTAGCGACGAAACAAGAAATTGGAATATGACATTTGAAATACGCGCCAAGACAAAATTGTATCCTTCTCCTTTGTGAGCTGCAGTTTGATTTATCTACAGTGAGACAGTTTTCTTGTGTATGTACAATCCGGTAGTGTAACAGGAACAAACGCTTCAACTCTTAATGGTGACCTTTGTAATATTCATTCAGTACTGCTCTTTGTTCCGGACAGCATATTATTAACGGCAGCTTATTTCTCGACACATTATCGTAATCGTTAATGCGATCCAGTAGTCATTGCAACAACTTCGGCTCCTCTTCCGAGATAAAGAACTCAGCTGTACGCTCAAGCAGTGCTTCATGGAATTCATCATTAGTGTTTCGTTACACAGTTAATACGCTGTCGTTAAACCACAGAAAGAGTACTGTCTCTGTCACCGACATAATTTTGCTTTCTTCTTAATCAGTAAAGTTTTATCAGTCAATAATTTTCTCGAATGAGATACGTAAGAAAACGATGAGACTGGTGCTCATCTTCATTCATATTAAATGAAGTTAACGATATCGTATCCTTATCTCGTCAGGATCGTATAATCGTTTAATTATTCTCATAAGGGTATATAAGCTAACCCACAACTTGGACGAGGATGAAGATTTTGAAAGGCAAGACAATTATGTTACGTTATTAATAGTGTTGCAGATCGGCAGTCTAGATTGTGTTACGTTCACACGAGAGAAACACTCGGGACTCGCTTGTAAAACAATTATATCTGGAGTAGCTGGCTGCTAAACAAACAAGAAAAAAAAAGACCAGGATCCAATGAATTTCGGCGAAAGTCAATTGTACCACGTGTCCCGGCTACAAGGATGACAGCACGCACTTTAAATGGAAAATTTTGTATAGCGAGTAGACGTCAGCTTTGTAGTAAATTATACGTGACGCATGGTAAGCCTTGGTGTTATGAATATTTTGGTGTTTCCTACAAAGCGACACTCTATATAGACGCGCATAACCAAAATAACCAACTTGCAATGCCAAGGCTGCTGCACCGGTTAGACATTTTTTAACTACAGAATGCAGATGCATACTCAAGTACTCAAGAGATGCGCATGCTACTTGTTATAGTTACGAAGTACAGATCTAATCTGCCGTCTTATCGCCAGCAACCGTGCACTACAAACAGAACAGTTGATTACCAGTAGGAAATTAAAAGTAGCAACAGGAAGACGAATTGCTACGTGTTTCCCGGTTGAAGCCGCAAAAAGATAAAATAAATTGTCTCTGCACTTAATCACAGAGAGCCTGTCGCCGGTGGTACTCTTTTGATTAGTCATTATTGCATGTAAATAAGAACGCGCGTACATTATACTTGCTCCTCAGTCTTTCATTATCTTTCGCGTCATAAACAGTTGTCACTGGCGCAACCGTATTCCCTTTCATGTATCACACGTCGCGAAAGTTTATGTTGGATTTACATTCCTGGCTCTCTAGGACCTTACGCAATTCTCAGTTAATGAGGGACCTTGGTGGAATACGTTCGATCTTTAACGAAGATCCTTCGACGAGTGATTGTTATTTACACGTAC